TGTAATGTTGAGAAAGCTGATAATCCCTGAAGGATCCAAACTCATTTCAAGTTCTTCGATGTGAAACAAATCTAAATATTTTTTGCTCTAAGTTTCAACAATTTAAATTTCATTGTTTTTATTGAGATTTATATTTTATAGAGTTTTTCATTCACTAATTTTTATGGAATTTATTTATCATAAGTAATAAGATAAAAAATGTTCACATTTCTCAGCTTTCACTTTCATTGAAACATTGACGAAATAATTTATAACTTCAGTTTTTTTATGTAACATAATCGTCTTTTTCTATTCTTCATTTTCTACAATATTTTAGTTTCTTCCTTATCAACAACACTCGTTTAGTCTAATGACCATTTTTTTCCCTGATCAGTCAGGAGAGTATCAAATAGTCCATGATCACTGTCATAATACCTTAAAAAAATATATATCAAATAACAGCTTAGTAATTGAACACATGTCTAAATCAAATTGACTGTAACAATAAAGACTTTTCTTTTCTCTTTGTATTGTTCCTGGTTTCTTGTCTTTAACGTTAAATTATCAAATTTATGAGATATATAGGATGGTAAATGTCTCATTGATTATTGTCGATGGTTAGAAATGAAAAGCAAAGTCATTCATTATCATGATAGAAAAAATTTTTTATATCTCCGTTAGTAACAATAAAGTAATACATACAAATAACTGGTAAATATCACTTTAAACTTCCTGTAATGTAATAGGTTTTTGTAAGTTATAAAACAGATAATCAACAAATTAAAAAGAGTAATACAAGATAAGTATCGAGTTATGTAAAAGATTAAAAAGTATATCTAAATTAAATCAGCTGATATTTCATAACCCTTTATCATTGACCTTATTGTAAGTCATTCATGTATAAATCTCGTCATTGTATAAATGAAAACGGGAAAACAAAATAGATAGAAGACGACAGATGGAACACACCTGTAATTTAAATATAACTATGCTATACATTTGAATAATCTGATGTTATCATAGAATGAGAATAACGTAGTGATTACATTTTTGTTGTTGTTGTTGCTATCACTGAATTATGTATACGTTCAATATACAATGATACAAATGCATAGTAGCACAGATATAATCTTTTTTATTTATTCATTATAGTTAAATATAAAGACACGTGTTTAAATTTAGGTCTGAGTGTAAAAAAAATTATTGTATTTCTTCCAATGTCAGTATATAGATACCATTATCACTTCTATGTATGGGGCAATTTTGATCAGATAATATGTTATGGGTAAAAGCAACAAATTTAGATAAAATATTATTTTAGGACATTTTATTTCTTATTTATGGATGTAATCGATATCTTCTAGACATTATTGATATTGTAATTTCAGAAACTATGTAATGAAGTGGTTAACTTTTTCTTCTTCTTCAAACAGTCCTAGTGAATACTTAGAATTGAAGTCTACTAAGAAAAGTTAATAAATATAATGAAATGAAAAAAAATATGACTATTTTGTTAAATAGAAATATTGTCCCTATTATAAGTCACTTTGAATGTATTCTACTTCATTTTAGTTAGTTGCAAATTAATGATTAAATAGAATAATAAGGAGGAAAATGAGTACATTATGATTTCATTATGACCAAATGACTAAAGTAGTTTTTTTGTGGTTATAATATGTTTATAAAATAATTAATTAATATAAAGTATTTACATTATACTGTCAAAATAATGAAGAACTAGATAATAACTTCTAGTTTATTTATGCAAACTTTAAAATGTAATATTAATTTCAACAGTTGAGTTCATGAGTCGATTGAACCTAGACCACCATGGAAAACCTGGAAACACTGAACGGTCGTTTCGTTCTATTGTGAGACTCCTCAGCAGTGTGCATCCACGATCCCGCCTTGCGGGATTCGAGCCCAGGACCTATTAGTCTCACGCATGAACGCTTAACCGCTAAACTACTAAGCCGGCATCCAACGATGTTAATATCTAATTTCAGCTAATCCACGAAATTGAGCGACACATCCACCATTGTCATCTCAACTGTTGAAATTACTACAATCTCCACAGAACCCCTTGTGATACTAATATTAATTATCATAAGGTTTATATGTAATATTTAACAGATTTTTTAATAGCGTAAATGTAATGAGAAATAGTCTAGTATCCCATTATAAAGTATAGATGATATAGTGGGGAAGTGAATGTCAATTCATTTAAATGGAAAGTGTTTTGTAAGTGTTAAACAATAAACAATGATTTCATTTGAATTTGTTTATTTAAGACATTTTATTCAATCAAATAATTAATGATCCACAAAATAGTAGAAAATCTCTATAGTATGCCTAAATAAATCAAGATGTGATTAAAAAGATTACTGACATTAGGGCGCTTGGTACTTGTGTGGTTTGCGCCACAGAATCTAGCCGTAATATTCAGATTGTAGCGTTAAAGCCTATACGATGTCTAGTGGGATTGAGCTATACTGATCGGTTTATAAAATTTCAGCCTGAGAGGTTTCTGGCTCTTCTGTTAAGCGGGATTGAACTGTATTGTTTGAGTTGTCACATGAGAGTCTGGATGGTGTCTGATTCTACTGAAAACCAATGTAAAATTACTCTGGCCCACAAGGGTATATTATATCACTATGAAGATCACCGCCACATAAAACCATTTCGTGTACCTTTGAGAGACTTTGTACATAGATATTTTAAGGGTTGTGTGAAACTGCTCTATAATCTAGAAACAATTCTGATCACACAAAATATATTAACGGATTCTGTCGTTGATGTTAAATTATTAGGGAGTTAAAGAACAAATATGGTGTAATGTTAAATATCATTCATTAATCGATTACAACTTTGTTCAGTCGATTTAAACTTCATGTTGTGTCCTAAATCGAATGATATTACCCATTACTATAAAGCACTCTAGGTGTAAAGGGTTAGGAGTTTACAACTCAGTGGCTGAAAAATCAGTGATTTAAACTGCCAAGTTTTAATTCTGAGCTACATACTTTATAGATAATGTCAAACGTTCGAGTTGTATCTAAAATGTTTGATCATCCCCATTATCTTAAATAGTTTAAAAAAATTATGAACCAAATTACCCGTTTGATTGCATTAGTTATTCGCACCTTTTACCGAATCTACTATACAGTCATAACAAAATCTCACTATAGTATTATTATTGTTACTATCGATTTTCTCACTCTGAAAACAATACAAATTATCAATGATTATGTTGCCCATTTTGTGCAAATTAGTAAAGAATAATTATGCTTCTATATTTCAAGCATCCAAACAAAAGTTTGTTTTTATCAACCAATTATTCCTAACAACTTAGATATACGTTTCTGACAATAAAATTCATTTCTAATTCCATTTACTGCGACTGGTAAATGTATGATCCAATCGATATATATAATGAGAGTACTTTGTACCGTCTAATGTTTTAATAGAATAAAATATTGATATCAAACGGAATATTTGTTTATGTCTTCTGTTAGAATGCAAGCTAATAAGTAGTTTCGTTTAAACGTTCTAACTATACCACAATAAATATATACATTTTGAAATGATTTAAATCATATATCTGTTAAGTAATCAATTATGATTTAGTTTATACTACTAAATAATAATAAAGTAGTTTTAAAATGTACAGTATAACGGACAACTTGTACTTATAACACATTCAATAATTATTACTCGTTTTTTGCGAAATATTAGTCAGAGTTCAAAAACTGAATGAGATACCATTAGGTTTATCTTAAATTATCGATAATATTTTTCCATAATGATATCGAGTGTTCCCATTGTAAACATTTTAAATAAAATTACGGTTTGAAAATCTATATAAATATTCATTTGACAAACATAATATTGTTCTGTAATGATATTCTCCCATATTCATATATTGAAGCTAATATTTCTCGTCAGGGATTTATGCACATATGGAATGGAATACACTATGAGCTGTCAGAATGTTATTTTGACATATAAAGTATATGAGAAGGGTTTTTGTGAATATTATAGTAATTTCAATAGTTATGATCGTGAGTCAACTGAAGCTAGTGATTGGCTTCAAGAGGTATTTCATGGAGTTCAAGTAAGAAGCAGTCACTAGTGGAGTTCAACCAGGTCTTTTGTGAGATAGCAAACCACTGAACATAATGCTGGATGTGTCGCGCGATTTCGTGGATTGTTTCAAGTTAGACATTAACACCACGGGTTGCTGGTTGGCCCAGTGGTCTAGTGGTTAAGCAATCGCGCGCGACACTGATAGATCGTGTGTTTGAATCTCGTGAGTTGGGATCGTGGAGGCGTACTGAAAAGGAATCCTACAATAGGACGAACTGGCCGTTCAGTGTTTCCATGTTTTCCATTGTCATCTAGCTTCAATTGACTCATGGTCGCAACCACTGAAATATATATTATAATAAATTGTAATTTAACTGTAATGGGCCTAATTATCTTTCTTCATGGTGATTAAAAGTACCAAAAACTAAAAATTATTTCAAATTAAAGATGAATTTTCAAATATTCTTGTTTACAATAATTTTGTTGTTAAAAATACTTAAATTGTAATTAACAGTCTGCTTATTTTTAAGTTGCTTCCTATAACAATTTATCCATAAAGACCAGTAAAGATAAAAAATTTGAATACCGTACACACTTCATTTGGTTTCAAGTTTTATTTTGCAAAGTATTTAAATAAAGGCTACCGAATTGATGTTTCTATCGTTGTGTACACTTTTCAGGGAGTTCAGTCGTCCCGTTAGTTATGCTTAAATTATCCTCTAGGGATGTTTTGTATTGTTCAATAAAGAAACTGTCAAAAACGTTTAAACACTTGCTATTTAGAACTACATTATTAAAATTTAGTGGAATATAACTATTCCGCTTTTATATTCTGATAGTAATAAATTTAATTCTCAACTCTAGTTACATCTGACATAATTAAATTTGATATATTTAATACCTAAGACATCACCTTGTATTTTATTTGATTACAGAAGTGGATTGTACAGTCAGTGAATGGGGACCTTGGACAAGTTGTGAATATACATGTGGTCAAAGTGTTAGTACACGTTACAGACAAATTCAAATTAAACCAAGTAACAATGGTAAGCCATGTCCAGAGTTGAATGAAACAAGACCATGTATTGGACACAATTGTGCATCGAAAAGATTTGGAAGATCTGGAACGCTGATGGTACCTTATGTTTATGATATAAAAGGTAGATTAACACTTTGATATATATATATATATATATAAATTCCCTATAACCAAATAAGTAATTTCTTTGATAATAACAGTAGGATATTTACTTCTACTAATATAAGGTAATGTTTATGTGTAATCGGTTAACTCGATCCAAGTAAACAAAATGATTAACCGTCAATTGCTTAGTTACTTTCTTTTTAATCAAACAGAATTAATTCAATACCTGCTTTTCATTGTCTTTCACACGACAGTTTATTGATATGGTAAAAGTGAAACACTCCTCTTCTTAAAAGCTAATAAAAAAGTTAGAAACCTGGTATGTACACAAGGTCAAACAATGACTCATATCAAACTACCGAAATACCTTATTTATCATTTTTGACCTTTATTCAATAATACAAAATGATTCGTTTATATATTACCAGAAATAGAAAACTATTCACCAAAAAAAACAGGTTTTATTTACACATTTCCAAGCTAAATACAAAGAAATAAAATGGTAATAATAATAACAACAAAAAGAAGAGGGAAGTGAAAAGAACAAATAAAGTTAATTTACAGGAAGAATGCTGGTATGCTTAGTTTAGTTTTCATTTAATTCAGAATCATCAGCATGTGCATTTGTTTTGACTATTTCTTTATAGTTTTACATTGATTTACCTACTCTACTCATGAGTAGATTTATTATTTGTCATTTGATAAATTGACCACGTGTACAAACAGATTTTATATTCAAGAAAATTTTCTCTATATTTATACATAACAACCCTATCACATAAATAAGCACACACACACACACACATAGGCTTATATATCATTTCAAACTGTTAATAATTAGACTGATGAATAATTCATTATTGAACAATAATACCTTGAAATTCAACAGTAGTTTTTCACAGATATATAAATATAATCAACAATTAACAATGCATTTCTTTATTACAATCTCATAGTACATACTGATCAGCTGGATTTTCAATTAATTTGTTGTTGTTGTTGTTGTATGAATCAGCGAACGGCATTAATATAGACTAGAATCATTAAGTAAAATGGTGATAATGAGGTAAAAGAAAATTCAGGAGGCGATTTTTTAGTGTTGTCAACATGTACATTAGGTTTTATATTTTTTTATTTTGCTAAAGCTAGACAATAAAAATTCAAAGTAGCAATAAAAAATAGGAATTGAAAATTATCAAGAAGCAATTTAGGGGAAAAAACACAATGATAAGTAAACAAGTCAAGGTCAAGTATGTTTATATGTTTTATCAGTTGTCATGATGGTTGAAAAATTTCGTTTCGCTTTATTCAATTAGATTTTAATTATCATCTAATCTTAAATTGTTATCTGAAGTTCCAATCGACTATTTAAAACTAAAACTACGTCTGTTAGGGGATAGATTTTAATTAATAATATCTGTGAATCATATATTAACCAATAGTGAATAAGAGAGATATAAAGTATCTATTTAGATTCTTGTAACACGAGCTTTTATAAGACATGATGATGAGGAGAAATCATTATATTCCTTTTGGATTAGTATACATTACTTTATAGAAGGAAAAAGGGGAAAGGTAATTTAAGGAAACACTATTGAAAGTATTATAACAAACTATTCAGTATATTTTAAAACCTGTTGTACTAACTATACATATAGCAATGAAATAACATGATTGACACTTATTAAAGAGTTTTTAAAGACTTTGATTATTGAAAGAAACAGTGTTAAAACTAACAGTGAATGCAGTGAATACAATATAAAACATTTCTCCATGTTACTTATTTCAGAGATTATTTTGAATAACACTAATAATGGTTTGTATTTTCTGCAACTTAAATTTTTATTAAGCATCCAGTTTTCATCAAGGCTGCTTTGTTTGTTTTATTCAGTCACAGAAAGAAAATAAAATAAATTGAAACTCTTACGCTAGATTTACATGGATATCAACTAGTAACTAAAGAGATACATTATTTTGACCGTTTGTCTTTATTACTTAGTGGCGTAAGATTATGAACTACTGAAATCTGAGAAATGATGAATATATATTTTATCTTTAGACCTTTTTAACAATGAGGAGTGTTAGTTGATCATTCGTCATTGATTTATACCACTTCCATAGTCAATATCAAATGGTTATTTTAAAGAAATCTTCAAATGTGTCCAATCATTTAACAATAACCTGATATTAGGAATTACTGTCATTATTATAACACAGTAGCAGACGATAGTTTTCGGTAGATCTGTAAATTTATAAATATATATTTATATATACCATTTGACAGATATCAGTTAGATAATCACAGATAGTCTGTTGTCTAACTGACAGGCTGGAAACAATTTATACTTATCGTGTTAATTTTATGTACTACCGATAAAGACAAAAATAGTATACTAACTGCGGTCTTTATTATTGTTATTTGATTGAAGTCAAGTAACAATGTGATCTGAAACACTAAAATTTACAGTTAGAAAATTGTCCAACCAACTCGTAAACTCAAAAATAACAATTACCATGTCATCATACTAGAGTAACGATGCCAATTATTAGATAAGAATGACAAAAAAATGAACAATTTTCATTTATACGAACAAGTTTAAAAAAACTAACTTTTTGTCTAAGTTTAAATGGTTAAAGTATTTTTAAATACACAAAAATGCAACATCTCAATGTACTAGTGGATGTCTGTTTAATGTTCATATCATTGAAGACTAGAAATCATGAAACGAATCATCAGAAAATTTACACAATTTACACAATGATCTAGGTTATGTAACAAGGTTTGATTTGATATGTGAATACATAAAACTGGTGTTTTATTGTTTATTGATTTTTGTCATAATTCTATAAGCAATAAAGTATTCATCCATTAAAAACATTGAGAGTTTTTTAATAATTCAAGAGAGAAACACTTAGAAACAGTTATGAACAGTTATTTTTTTAATTCTTATATGTGTAGTAATCAGTATCGAAATTAACATTGGAATTTCAATGAGTAACTGGAATGTCTGATTGAGATCTACTAGTTTATGAACTTGTAGTTATTATCATACACTGTGATCAGTTGGAAAATTATCGAAAATCAACGAATCATAGATAGATGTTTTAGTTCAGGTTTAGAATCAGGACTAGACTAACATGCCATTCATCACTATTAAGTGACTTATTATGTGTAAATGTTTTAATCCGCAACGTGTCAGTCGTGGACCGAATGAACTAGTGATAACGCTTAAGACTGCAAAACTAAGTGGTGTAAATTTAAATCACAAACAAAATATCAGTTCCCTAGAGATTACAGGTAAGTCTTGCCGAATTGTATGAAACGTGCATCCAGAGTCCCCTATTGACTAGCCTTAACTACATGACATCGCAATACAGTGTACGCATTGTCGAACTATTTTGACCGGGAGCCTCACCGAGACTTCACTCATTGAATTCGATTGGCAATATTTGACAGGGATGTCTGATAACTCAGTAAAAGTTTCAACCTAGAACTTTTAGCTCCTATATTTAAAGTTGTTATATTACGTTACAGTGTAGATACCTACTTGGTAACCTTGTAACTGAATTGCGAATAATCGCCTTAAAACAATTAGCGTCTTAACCATGCGTATGCACCAACATTTTTGAAGCATAAGTTTATACCATTTGAAAATCACTCTAAATCTATCTTTTACCTAATTTTTGTGAAACAAATCAGTATTTTATATAAATCAAAGATTGTGGTCAATAAATTACGTTGAAATTGATATACATTAATACGTTATATTAATGATTGACATTTGATTTTTGGTTTTCTCTACACCTTTTCTTTATAACAGCTGAAGTGGCACATTTACTACCCGTACATGGAGATGTATTGGATTTAACTAGACGTTATGATATGCGTTTTGATGTTCGACGTAAACTCTATCTTGGTAGATTAATAAAAATGAATAAGACTGAACAGCCAGAACCTGATCCGTAAGTAATAATATGACATTCTTTAGATTTTAAATGTTCTCTTCTTGTAACACACTGATCTTCCATTGAAATAGCAGTTTACATTGCTAGAGAATTTGTTTTAATGCTTTTAGACATCAATGCAAAAATGTTTAGTGCTCAAAAAATATAATAGTTCAACAAATGGTTGTCACGACCCCTCAAGTTACCAAATACTAATTGAAATCTCTTGATTATTGCATTTGATTCGACGAGTATTTATGTTGCTCTGATAGTATTTTATTTAATAATCATAAGTAAAGAAGATAATAGAGTACATTCTATTATACTCACTTTTTGGTACTCCTCAGAATGTTTAAATGAATACTTATTATTCAACAATGATTAAAATTATTCTAGAGTCGGGCAAAAATGCTTTCATAACTCTTTTCAAAAACTTTTTTCACAGACTATGTGCAGTCTTTCTGTTGGCCAATTCGATAGCCACTTTAGGGTTTCGTAAACTATGTTTCAATTAGAGCTCCTAATATTCTCAATGTTTCAAGATATTCAAACAATGAAATAAACGGTAGAATATCTTTAAAATTTGGTTGATGTGAATCAGTGATCACTTACATATCTGTAGATTAGATCTAAAGTTGAATAATAATGCAAAAATAAATAATACAATCTGACTCTTCAAAGCTGAACTAGATGGAACGAGTTCAAACCTATGACATATTAATCGAAAATCGAATCCTCAAATGAGTGTCGTCAGTTTATATATATCATATATACAGTAAAATGTCTGAACAAAAATAACTAGCACATCTGTATTATGAAATACTACTAATCCGATGATGATATGTAGGTAGAGGGATCCCCTTGACTTTTTCTTTTTACTTAATCATTTGATCAGTAATTAAATAGTTTCACTAATTTAGGTGTTCCAGTAGGTCACTCTATTTGACATGAAATTCTTTCGACTTTGAAACACACATGTAATGTCTAACTACTAATAATCTGTCCATAATAATAATTGCCATAACTGATTTATTTAAACATTTTAATGAAGAGCATTCTATTATTAAACTTCAATGACAACAAGATAATATTTGTTTATGTAAGCGGCGAAATGTCAACAATTAGACAGGTCATAATCATGAATTACTAATCGAAGAAAATAACGTCAATGATATTTAAAGATATCAGGATAAGATATGTTGATGGGTGATGATAATAAGTAATGAAACGTTCTTATTTTATTCTAAGAATAATTATTATATCAGTTTATAGACAGATAATTTCTATGACTAATACATAGTGAATAATTGATAATTTATAAACAAATCTTTTGAAGGTTATAAAACAGAATACAAGAATGATATGATGCCATTATTCCCATTATTATTGTTTGTTAACATTCAGGTATATTAAAATAAACTAGTTAACATTGAACATTTATTTCGATATCCACTGAAACTTTGTGATGGTATGGTTATTACTTTTATATCACCGGATTCAAGATCATCAATTTGTAAGGGATGCGTTTTTTGTTATTTAAAACACAGAATTTAACTTCAGTTTGAACAGTGTTATCAGTTTATTTGCATTTGACCATATGTTACAATTAAAAATATCGTATAAAGAACGATATACTTTAGATTTCATAGGCATATTATATATCACATGTCAATTAAAATACTTTTGATAAGATTACCGTATCACGCCTAGTTTAACATCCAGTACTATAAAAGCTTCACTAACAATGTAATTCCGTAAGTCCACTGATGTTTACTAAAACAATAGAGCTTTAATGTTCTACCCGAATCCGATTTTTCCGAAAACGTTGACCATTAAAATTACATGGATTTAATGTACCATTATTACTAGAGAGTTGTAGAAAATATGTTTATTTATGAAGGGTATATGCAAAACACTTAATAAAAATATGTAGTGATACTAATTTCATAGTTCCTAGGTAAGATATATACCCTATTTAAAAGTATAGGTGATTATACAATGAGTTCAATAATAATTTGACTATATAAATAATTTATCATTACGATACTTCTAAACAGAAGCGTTATACAGATATTTTTATTGTAACAGTTATTCTGGGTAATTTAAATTAATGAACTTAAATATCAGCTCAAAATGAATATTGTTTTGATGTTTTCATTTAATGACAATCATTTTCTTATGATTTTCAGATACTGTGCAGTATATGAGATTACGTATTCAAATCAGGCTTGTCAATCACAAAATTTGTTATGGCAATTTTCACAGTCACGCGATCTGTATCCTTCTTATTATTATCCTAATCGTTATAAACGACACAATGATTATAATGGTCAATCAATCACTTTTAGCCGTAAATCATTTCTCCACAAAAGACAATACAGTACAGTTAGAAATACTGGTCTGAACAAAAATTGGGAAGACAATTATTCGAATTCTGAATCATGGATTACTCATTCAGCGTTACTTACACCAGGTCAACAAATCTGTGTGACATGTTATCCAACATATATGAGAGAAGATTTAGGTTACAGATGCACTGGATCTGGATTACCAAATGTTGAGACTAGATGGCGTGCACTACGTACTTCTGATTGTCAAGGTAGATTCCGTATGGTTAGTATACCGCAAAGATCATGTACATGTGGTCGAGGTGTTGCATCATTTGTATTTGTTTAATCATCAATACATAAATCTATGCGAAATTGTGCACGTATTTATTAATTTATCTTTCCAATACAAACTTGAATATATCATTTATACGTACAAAATAACAATCACATACACACATAAGTTTCCATCACTTTTTTTTGGTCGATCTATCTTCAGAAAGAAAGTAGTAACTATGGTTATAAATTTCCAAATACTTATATTACTTAGAAGGTTTGCATTTGCTAAATAACTACAACTAAACTGATGTGTAATCATTATTGCTGGTATTAATTTAGGTGAATCTTTTAATGAAGTCTTTTTGTTATTATTATTATTATTATTGGTTTTATACACATTTTATAGCTCTTACTGACATTATTAGATGGGGTCATGCAATTAAACAAAACTGCCTAACTAGAACAAATTGGATTCAATTATGAACTGAAATATTCTACCACTTTCTGTATTATTTATATTCAAAAGTGTTTATTATTTTATTGAAGTTTTACATAAATAATTTCTTATATCAGGGTAAACTGTTTAGGTATATTATTATTATTATTGTTTTAATTAATAATATTACTTTAAAATTACAATTAGCAAATTTTAAAAAAAATTTGATGAAGGTTAGGTTTACTAGTCATGATTATGTAATACATGTTTGTTTAAATTTACTCAAGGTCATTAGTGTTATTTTGTTTTAATTCTCTAGTCTCTTTTTTTAAAAAAAAATAACTATTCCATAGAAATTCTATAATAAGGTAATATGAAAATCATCACTTATATATATATAGCTTTATGTTTTCCAGTTTTTTTTTATTTTACGACATAACAACTTAAGGAATATAGTTGTTTACTGTTTATTCTAGCGTTTATTTTTTAATTGTTTATCTTTTTTTTCAGTCTTTACGCACAGTCTTTAGAAAATGTTTGTTTCGTATAACTTTCTTTTTCAAATTCAATTGAGTTAGACCATTTTGCAACTACCTTCTCTTTCGAAGAAAAACATAATAACAACACAGCATATTTATGAGAAAGAATAATTTGGTAGTTATTAGCTTGTTTACGTTCTATTTTTCTTTATTGTCTATTTTGATTTGTGTGTGTATGCGTGTGTGTACATGTCATGTCATCTTTGGTTTTTGCATAAATAATGGTATATTCAAATGACTGAAAAGGAAATTAAATTTATATTGACTAACTATTGTGTAATTCTAATTATTTAACGTTCTCATTCTCGAATCATCTTGATAACTATTACTGATTATTTGCTATCCATTGAAGATATATATACTGTTTAATATTAAATACGTTATTATTAAATAATTTAACATATTTGATGATTATACTATTCGAATACACATGTTTATTTGAACCTTTAATACTGATATTGATAACCATTTGTTTTGTTATTATTACATCTTGTGTATGTTGTCATTTCACATAATGAAATGTTCTTTGAATGTGTTTATTTGATTCAATGTCTATTATAAATGATTGATTTGCGTTATATTCTTGCCAATTTTTAAATTTATATTTTCTATTGTACTTGTCTTCTTTACAGCTTCTTATTGAAATAAATCAGCATTTTTATTACCATGATTAAAGTTATTGATGTAATTGTTTTATTGTCATTATTATTGTTATTATGAGTAATTATTATAAAAATCTAATAAAAACTCTTGTATATTTTTAACTTCGTATAATGGTTAAAACGTACGTTATGCAAATATACTTCTCGTGTGTGAATTACCTTGAAGATGAATGTTTGTGTATTAATCTGTTAGTAGGTCCTAAATAACTGATGATATTATTTCGTTTCTATGCGAAAATTAGAAGGAAGAGATGACAGTTTCCTCTTCTTTACATCAGCAAATATAAAAATGTCGATTGTTTAGTTATCTCAAAGTTGTTTTTAAGTTATTTATTTCCGAAGAAGCATGGAACCACAAATCTTGATTACCAAACAAATCATAATGATGATAATGGTCTGCTACCATTGAATGAATAATGTGCATTATGGCCAATTTATTGGACAGAAGAATATAAATTTTTGTGTGCTAACCCAGTAGTCTTAGGGTTAAAAGCTTGATATGATACCTTGCGATTTTCAATTTAAATCCTGGCAGTGTCATAGGTTCATACTACTAAGGAGATGCATATTAGAACAGCTGCTCAGACTTAATTGATATATTATCACAGTTTCTTTCAAACCGAGATAGTGGTCACCCACAAATGAAATACTACAAAACCCCCAAATTATCATAATATTCTGACATTGCGAAAGGAATAATTATAAGTTAACCGAAACCTATGAATTTAAAATAATCTTGAAACGTTTTTACAATGTTTCGGAATTCGATATAGTTCGTTTAAACACGTTATACGCTTTTTATAGAATAAGAATAACAATCATCTGCCGATAAATTATCTGATGAGAATTCGAAAATCTAAATATAAGGTTCAAACTTAATTGTTTGAATATAACTTCCAAATGCCCTGATACCACGGAGGGTGGGGAGAGTTAGCTCTCCTTCTTCAGGCACTCTCACATGGCCACACATACAGCCACTGCCATGGAAATCCTACTCACTACCTTCTCGTGGCACTACTGTTGTTTACGAAGTCGATAGGATGAAAAGTGAATGTCTGAACTTTAACTGAGTCGACAGACAAGGAAGGTCCACCTAAGGGGGTTGGAAAATCTTGATTTCAATCCAATGGCGCACATGGGCTCTGGCATCCTGAAGGGACGAATGGCGTATGAACCAATCGTTGGTCACCGGTTACCATGGGACTGCATCTCCTGACGTTGCTCCACTTCATCGTGGATCAGACCTTTAGGTCGAAGGCTCCGGATATTGCCTTCTGAGAAAACCACCGGCTTGGTTTTGCGCATTCGGGCAGTATCGTGGCCGACACACAAATCGAGTGAATTGTATAGCACATATGTATTCGATGCCTCTTTGTACCAATATTTATGTGTTCAAATAAATAAATAGTTTGAATATAAATGACACTCAAAACTGACAGACATAACGGTAGTGACTATATTCTGATCTATCAGTCTATTTCATGAAAGATTTTACGTATCGTTTTGAAATTACTGACTGCAAAATTTTAATGTATAAAGGTTCCTGATACAACCTTCTATGTAATATATGTTAGATTAAAAAACATACAACTTCATGTGTAATAAATATTAAATTCAGATAATCACAGTGACAATAAATGTGTTTAAATGTTAAAAGTGAAGAATTTAGTAGTTACTGAATACCACTTAGTTAAAAAGGGTGTACAGAGATAACTGTAAAATAACAGTAGGAAAATTCTATGTATTGATTAATACAGCGTGATAGTTAGTGAATATAACTATTGTTTTATAATAATTCAATGTAACATCCACTTGCATTCCAACTATATCAGCGGTTTACATTACTTGAAGAATGATCAAATGCCAGTAAAATCTGAATATAGATGAGTGTCTTTAGCTAAAGTTGTCTTTGTAATTTTGGAGAGATGAACGAAAGCTTTATCTATCATTTATTCTTGTCTTCTTCTTTGGATGGTACAAATAGCAGTTTTTTTATGTTTCAGTTTTGCAGCTACAAATAAAGAAAATGGATAGATTGTTAGGTTGTTCATTTTAAGAAAACTAGAGCTTAAACATTGTTAGTATAAACTAAATGTACTTGGATTAAATTAGAAGATTCACTGGAGTGGATCACTAAATAAACTACATAAATATCAGTAAAGATTGGTAGTCAATTAAATAACATAGTTTTAATGTATATAACCAGCAAGGAAGTACATATGTAATGATTTTCAGGGTCTCATTACCAGATCGAGTATTTACATTTTTCTTGTCGGTCGTCAAGAATTAAAATGGATTTTACTTTCCAAGTAATCAATGAAACCGTATTTTAAAAAAACTCGAATTCTATACATTTTTTCTTTCTCGTTATTCTATTTCGAGAATGTTGGGTGGTAAATAACGGTAATCAATCTCTTGTACAATATCGGACTGATTTTATTGATCTCTCTTGAAAGTATGTCAAAGCTTTGCCTGAAACTCAGAATGTGGGTTTTGAAGATCCTTACACAACAGAGTTGATGGGATATGACTTTATGTTTAATCTATATATATTTCATGATGGAACGGGAAGTATTCTACAAAGTGAATATATTCTTTGTTTTTATTTAATTTTATTTTAGCTTAACTATTAAAAAGGCAATCGAAAATGCCCAAAATATGGACCAGTGAAAAATAAGTGAAAATATAGACAAAAAGTTTCAGCATTGATGATGAGTAAGGTTGATCTAATCAAGGAGGGATTCATATTTCATGTGGTTAGTTTCGATGAAACAATGTTCCATGAGCTATGTCAATGAGCTGTGCCAGACAACACGATGGTTTCAAGTTACAGAATACGATTTTTACAATTCTACCATCTAGTTTAGATAAGGCAACACTCAAAAGATTGTGGATTATTTCTTCAAGACCAAAGGTCGATACGTCTCATTTGTTCATATCTAATAAGTTAGCATTGTATTGACGTAAATGGTCAATGAACAAGCGATCAATGAATCGATATCATGATGAACTTTTACTTTGTTAAAGTAAATAAGTTCTACATATTTAAAAAACCATACTTTATGAAAAAACGAACAAATGGTTATTACATGACTGACTGCTTTTTAAAATATTCTTTAAACTGTCTTTTTAGGATCATTTAACTGGAACATCAGTCCTAACTCCAATAAAGAGAATGGGAAAACCTTTTGAATAGAACAATATGTCACTAAGTACACATCATTCGTTATAGCTTATTGTATTCAAATAAGTAAACTTTAACAGATTGTTAAGTGGTAAAGAAACATTTGTAATTAACATTTAAAAAATAATACAAATATTTTGTAAACGAAGTCGCAAATGATTTATTTTGTAAGTGGCGGCCACAGTCTAGTCCGGTCTAGATGACTTGATTGAGATGCTACGGTGGGTTGTGGTCGAATCGTGGCTTAAT